CCTTATTGTTTGTAACAACTTTTAGAAAAATCCATATGTTCTTTAATAACAGCAGGCTTTCTCCCCAGAAAATACTCAATACAGTATCCTCGTGAGCCTATTGTCCTCAGATCGTTGTATTATATTCCCAACGCCTCTGCAAGTTCAGTCCTTCCTCCCTTGCTTGTGCTTCCTCCATTTTTTTTTTTTTAAATCATTTGGCCACACAGAGCTGCCTCATGTCATTCTTTGCATACATCATCTCTGTTTTTTCTCTTTTCCTGCATAATGGCCCAGCTTTTCTGAGAGTAGCTGTTGTCCCAAGTGTGATCCTTTACTAAAATGGGGAGTGAATGAAGGTGGAGCACAAATTATCTGGAAGCAAAGGAAAACCAGGCATTTGAAAAGGACCCAGAAAGGAAGGAGTAATGAACCAGAGTGGCCTGGATGAATTGCTGTAGAGGGAATTCTCAATTTTGACACAAAAGGAACATAGGGATACTAAGGCCGACCTAGGTGGCGGGGAGAATCTCCGTAGGAAGCCTGCCTCATAGGCTGGTCAGTACAGAGGGTTGAAGCCAGTAACCTTCCAGATATGAACAGAAACAAATGTATTTTATGAGTAACAGTTAGGCATTCAAACATGCCCATTCCAACACAAAGTACTCTGAGGGGTTGACATCCCTTCATAATTCACGTTCATTGTTCCTCTAAGTAAAATATGTGTCCCCCTGTAGTTGTTCTGTTAGGAATTGTGCTTTAAAGGCAAGAGGACATTTTTGATAATGCACATCTTAAACTTTTCATTAAACTACCAAATTTAAATTCTACCTTTTTGTGCACTCTGACATTTTTGTCTGGCATTTTCATTAATTTTGCGACATACATAAATGTAGCTGAAATGTTAACTGATCAATACTTTGTCTCTCTCATGTAGCACTAGCGCTCCATTCCCTAAGGACCACACAGCAGAACAGAAATTAAATGTGTAAAATATCAAATGTTACTGTTAAACACAGCGGCACTCACTGTGTAACGACAGAAAAGGCTAAAACAATTCCAAATGGACAGATGGTACCACAAATTATCTACAATCACATTTAAAGATTAAAGTTTGTCCTGTAAAATAATTCTTTGACGCACACTGAAGTGTGTCCTTTCACTGATAGCTCAGTTGTCCAATTATTTTTGTGCTCATTACAGTGAGAAATGACAGTACTGAAGAGAAAGTGTGCACTCTGTTTTCTTTTTTCCATGTTGCACCCACTGACATCCACAAGAACACAAATGTCTGGTCAAGAGCCTGATGAAAATTAGACCCAATTTATGAGACATTTCCACGTCTACAATAGATGATTCCAAAGACGAGCAGGGCCTTCTGTGCCACATACGTCTGTGTTTGCTCTTAGGCATTCAATATTCATAGTAAAATTTAAAAACCTAATTCATAGCGTGCAGTAACAAGGACATTCCCAGGAACAAGCTCGCCTCTATTTTATCCCTTACCTCCCAGGCCGCTTGCAAGCTTCTAATCTCGGCCGCCTGCTCTGCATCTTTCCCAGCACACATAGGTAGGGCCAAAGGGGCTGGAGCAGCTCTAACCCTGCATTTCTTTAGCTTTCCACTTGAATTGACATTGGGACAAAAAAATTATTGTTTTTCCATTTTGATTTTATTATTCTACATTTATTTTTGGATAGAAAATTAGCAAAGAAAAATAAAACGGAATAGGAAAAAAAAGGCACTTAAACATTACGAAGTTTACTGATCTGGGCCTAAAACCAAGCCACATAATGTGCTCCGTGAAGCAGCTGCATTTATGAAAAAGTGGGCCAAGTGGAACCAATATTATAATAATAGACCCAAGATCCATCAACAGGGAATGATGGGAACAATATGTTTGTAACAATGGGGTGCTGCTCATACTCCTCTCCTAATGGAAAGCAGCTCTTTTCAATAAACGGGCCTAAAAGGGCTCTGGTTATGCAATGAGATCTTTGAAACATTTCTTTTCTTTTTTTTTTTAAGATTTTATTTATTTATTTGACAGAGAGACACATCGAGAGAGGGAACACAAGCAGGGGGAGTGGGAGAGGGAAAAGCAGGCTTCCCGCCGAGCAGGGAGCCCGATGCGGGGCTTGATCCCAGGACCCTGGGATCATGACCTGAGCCGAAGGCAGATGCTTAATGACTGAGCCACCCAGGCACCCCAAAACATTTCATTTTTAAATACATCATTTAATATCTATAAGAGGAATTAAAATCCTACAACAGTATTTTTTCCTGAATTGTTATGAGACTTAGATTATAAGGTGCGTATTAGAAAGCTCTTTTAGAAAGAAAATAATATCTGTTGTGCACTTTGGGCAAGGTTCTTTTCTGTGCCTCAGTTTTTTCCTCTGTATATCAGGAAAATAATAGTATCTATCTTATAATTATGTTGTCGGGAATATTAAATTCATTTATGCATGAAAGGCACTTTCGTGCCTTAGTACCTGTAAAACAGTTTCCTGTCACATAAATGCTCAGGAAGTATGAGTTGTTGTTATTTTTATATAGAGGATTATTGTATTATTATTTAGAGGATTATTATATTATTATATATTAGTTGTTATATATATAACACATATAGAGGATTATTGTATTATTTAGAGGATTTATATTATTATATATATAACATACATATAGCACATATATAATGTAATAATATACTATTATATATTGTTATTATATAGAGGATTATTATATTCTTATTTAGAGGATTAAATTCATTAGAATTTAAGTAAAGGTCGAGGGAAAATTGCTGCAGAGCATTAAGCTATGTCTATCATCATTTAATAACCAACTTTACTAGAGCAAAGCCCTATTTATGTGGCATCATTCAAGAAGACTTTCTCCTCTTTAAAAAATTTGCAGACTGATTGACTGGTTTATTGGCTGGTCTATTGATTTAGATAGCCATTTATTTTGGGAGCCTACCAAGTGCTAGATACTCTGCAGGTGATGCTGGAGTACTAGGGTGAAAAGGCAGGGCCCCCGTTCCCAGGGAATGCCCAGCTCAGGTCTAGATAAATGCTGTTCAGTTTTGTTATTTGTTATTTCAACCACATTCAGTAGAGTGTGATTCAGTGCTTCTATTCAATGAACAGTTAATATTATCATTTCTTCCTCAAAAGTACTCTCACTGCATATTCACATGCAGCTTGTGAGGACTTGTTTCTCACCATCAGTGTCTGCAGGCCCTTTTCCTTCCTTCACGGTGGCCTCCCCCTCTTTTTTGCAAGCATCTTGCATTCAGTTTGTGTTTTGTATGACCAAGGCTGTTGGAAACTGACTACAAGCTAAGAGAGATATTATTATATTTCCTCCTGGCGAACTCTGATTCCCTTATAGTGAAACCACTCAAGTATTATCAGATACATGTACTGAAGTTTCTTGGACTTTCAGTGCCTGATTTTTTTTTAATCAGAAGAAAATTGGGGAAAAAAGTCTGCCATCTTGAATTCATTTCACATGAGCAACCTCGGGAAGCCAGAGGGAGTTTATGAAAACTTACACAACACATTGTAATGTTAAAGCATTCGAAATGAATGTTCCTGAACGAATGACATAATTATAGAGATTTCTCTATTTTCAAATTTCGCAAACAGTTGTGGGGAATGACTTTGGAAAGAGTGAATCAAAGATGGCATCATGGCCCTTTCAGGAGAATATTACTGTGTCTGTCATAAGGCCCCGTGGAACCTCGAAGTAATGGCATAAAATACACACAGAAACTCAGTATCGTCTTTTCCTCATTAACATCAAAGTGCCTCTATGATACTGAAAAATCATAATAAAGTTTGCCTAACAGTACCCTGACATATTTATTATGTGAAGGCACTAAATAAAAGAATATTGAAAGAGGCAGATTTTCTTTTCTAAATCCTAATGATGATGGCAATCGCTTTCTTTAAGGAGACAACAACATGTCTATGGGAAGCTGGCCGCCTAACTTTCTGGTAACTTACAACACAAAGGGACATACTCACTCTTTGTTCCATGTGCTCAGACATTAATGAAAGTCCCATACAAGGCCTGAGAGAAGGACAGAGCTCAAAGTGCTAAACAGATGTGCATACACTCATTTGAATGGTAATACTAAAATGTTGAATTGTTACTATAATTAAGGCTCTTCTTGTAAGCCTCCATAATAAAGTCAGATTTTGCTAACCTGGAAACTATAAGGAAGCATAAGGTACTCATATTCTAACAAATATGACAATAAAATAAAGGATTTCGAAAGAAGGACTCCACTTAAACTTCAAACTGAAATCCTGAATAAGCAAAACTAATGTGAGAGCAGAAAATCCCAGCTAAAGCTCAGAGGAAAGTGTTCTCTCGGATTTTCGAGCTCTGCAAGTTGGTCTCATCAGCAGTTTTTAAATAACCAAAGTAAAAGGCCACAAGATGAACACTGTTAGAGAACTATTTGGATCTATCAAATTCTCACTTGTGCCTTTTTAAAAACTGAAAATCTCAGAAACAATAAAATGTCTCTTAAATAGGGTCACATCCACTTCCAATTGACTCACATATTCAAACATTACCAACTAGCATCCTACTGCCAACGATTTTCCTATTTTGAAAAAAAAAAATCTATAAAACAATAAAATAAAGACGAGGATGGTCAAGATTATTAATTTTTTTTAACACTAAGGACTTTTCTTGGTGCTGTTATTGGGATTTGGAATTATGCAATATGTAAAATTTTACTTTTTGACTGTCATGGAGAAAATTATATATTGGCTGAGATATCTTGCTTTCCGGAAATCTGGGGGGGGGGGGGGATGTGTATTCTTGGACTCGGACCTTGAACGATCCATCAGGTTCCTGCCCACGGCAAATCTGTCCAGTCAAGTCTTAAAATAGGAGTTTTAAAATGGCCACATCAACATAACTGTTACTATAGCCACAGAAACATGCAGCTATGATTACTGAATTTAATGAATAACAATGTAAGTAATAAAGAATTATCATACCACAAAAGCAGCGAGGCTCCTTGGGGGTGAATCCCAATCAAAGCAACTATTAACGTAGTATGCAGCATTTACGAGCACCATGACACAACGCTTCATTCTGATAAAGTTTCTTAGTAGCAGCTGTAAGGAAGATGAAAATATTATCAGAATTTGCAAGACTAAAAACCATCAGATATGGTACAAAATTCTTCAAGCTTAGTGTGACTTAAAAAGGATTCAGAAAGTTAATAAAGTTGTAAGAATATACCAAGCAATTTGGCTCAAGAGTTAAAGGAAGAGAAGTATCTCTGAAGAAAGTAGAAAGAACTGAATTACAAGAGCAATTTCTCAGCTAAATATATTTTCTTAAATAATATTATTATGTGGGTCGGGCTACTTTTGTTCAAAAGAAAAAAAAAATCTAAAATCTCCAAGAGATTAAGAACATTTATATACTGTGAACCTTAAATATATATTTTTTTACTCTTAAATCTCATTGTGATTTTAAGATTCTTTAAATGCTTTAACTTCAAGATATTTCAAAGTGAAATGGATAACGTGAAATGTTTTAATTTCACGTCTTAGAGGAAAACCTGTCAAGTGTTGCTTTATTACAGAAAACAAAATTTTCACCATTTTTGTAGGAACCTCCCTTATTTACTATCAATTTTTCAGTCTCTGTCTCTCGGTCTCTCTCCCTCTCTCTCTTATTCTCTCTCTCTCTTTTCCACAATCAATTTAACCTATATTTTCTCATTGCTTTTTTCATAATTTTGGAGTTAGGAAAAAATTTATGGTAACCAAATGCTTTACAAAATCTTTCATTAAAACGGTATATGAGAATTGATATAATTTAAATCTAACATGTAAAACAAGGCATGACTACAACTATAAAAAGAATAGCCCCTCTACTAGATGAGGGTACAAAAAATGATCTACAACTGTGTTACTAATTAGACTACTATGTCTGCAGGTTAATATTTTGCTAATGCCAAATATACTTCGATACTGATCTGGTATTTTTAAGAAGTGAAGCTTCTTGAGGTCATTTGCAAAAAATATGTGTATGTGTGTGTGTATAAATATAGATGCCTGAACAAGCATACCAGTTTTAACAAGTTGTTAAAATGGGAATTCTTTCGCGAAAAGAGTCACCCTATTTGTTTCCTTCTTTCCTTCCTCCCCTGATGACCTTCCTTTTAGAGCTCCTTTTATTACTTTTATCTCTAATTGTGAAAAAAATGTAATCTGTATTTCTATTTAGATAGATATTGCATTTGTAATTCATGCACTGTCTTTAAACAATCAAAGATCCCACTGTTTATGGTGAATTGATTAGATTAAAAACAAAACTAGTTTTAGTCTTCTAATAGCACAGAAAATCGTTAAATATTTTCACACACACAAATGAGTTCTGTAAACTTTATAGCCATAGCAAAAACATTTTATTTTAGCTGCGTTAATTGGAAGTAAACATTTTTTTAAAGAGGTAGCTTATCACCCTTTCTTAACTTGGTATCAAACCTAATTTAAATCTAGGTCTAAATTACAAGATGCAGAGCCCTAGTTAAAATTTCTTCATGACAGAAAAATCAGATGTGCTGGTTTTCTATTTTCTTCGCCAAAAGTGCCAATAAAAGTTCATTTCTAAAAGACCATAGTCAAAATCTAATTAACAGGAAGGTTTCCCTTAAAAGATGGAGCCCCCTCTCTTGTGGATTAGAGGGAAGAGCTTTACCCAGGGCTCGCTTTACACACACCTGCACCATACCTGTGGGTGGTCTGGACATATATTTGAACCTCAGCCTTTGGTGGTTCTCATTTACACATTCCATGGCAATCAGACAGTATTTTATGTTCAAAATGATCATTCTTTGGCTAATGCAGGAATACATATCCGTTCTACGCAGCGCCTACAGTATCCCCTTTCCATTCTGACCACCCCCATCCAATTTATTAGTTTGGTATTGTCCTTGTTTGATCTCTTACGGAAAGGAAGGGAAGAGAGAGAAAGAAAGAAAAAAAAAAAAAAAAGGAAAGAAAGAGAGAAAGAGCCATTTCACATAAGTAGATGATCAAAAATTCCCTAGTCTTCCCCCCGTCCACACTTCCAAGGTTTATTTGAATTTACCTAGATGTTTTGCAGATACAGTCAGGTCTTCCCAGAGGGATTCATCTTTCCTTGCTTTTTACCTGTTTAGAGAGTCTGTTTTCCTCTTCAATGTACTTCTGTTCTTTGGGTATTAATGTTCGTAAGCTGGCTTTCACCTATACATCAACACACGTGTCTGTTAGGGACTCACATATTACCAACGTTTACAAGTTTTTCACGCAGTTCAATTTGCAACAATGCCTAAAGTTCCAAAGTCCTGGCTGCTGCGCTCACAAAGCACAAACGTATACAGTTGCACTCGCACGCGCTTGCACCGCCGACGCCGGCAGGCAGCGGCCGCCGCCCACTGCGCAGAAAGGGCGGGTGTGCCAGGCAGTGGCGGAAGCGCCCTGTCCGGGCCGCGTCAAGGCTTAGCGAAGACGAGGAACGACAGAAATTCTCTACAAGCCGGGAACAAAGGCTTTCACGAAACTGAACTCTTTAGCAGTACGAAAAAGCCAAAGTTAAGACTTACAGCATTAAAAATCACATCTATTTCAAGATAGATGACCCCCTTTGTTGGCCCTGTCAGCTGCTTGTTTTTCAAGACGTAGGCTTTCTGTTCACCATTTTGAATCTGCGGGAAAAGGACATGACAGCCGTCTGTCTCGCGGTCTCCGCTGAATACGCTCCCTCAGTGACCTTTGACCCCCAGCTGCCGAAACTGACAGAGAACCCAAAACAACTGTGGCAATTCTGACAAGTACCTGTTCATTACCAGGATCAAGTCTGTCAGGAAAAATTAACTATCATGGGATTCAACATGGCCGTGAATCGAGTATGTTAAAATTTTTAGTGTTCTTATTACAGACCTTGGTTGAGAAATGACAGATACAGAGCTGAGGGTTTTTTTTTTTTTTTTTTCCCCTTGAGCAAAAGCAACACAGAGCAGCGTGTCAGGTGAATAAAACTTACAGACAGCAATGGTATAGCAACTTTGCCCAGAAAGTCAGCACTTCGATCCCGATCTTCATCATAAACTGTCACCTCAAGAACTGAATGGATATCTTTAATGTTGCTGCATGATAAATATACGTAAGAAGAAAAGACTTCATCAGTGGGGAACGAGAACAAAAATGCTTTTGAAAATTTAGATGGCTCCAGCTGGTTTTGTGTGTATGTGTTTTTAGGTATGCTATTTGCATATACACATACACAAGGTAGCTTCGTATCTGACAGAATTTCCCGTGATGCACCTTCGTAGACTACAGTGCTGGTTCTGTGACCTGGAACTTTGAGCACTATTGTAATTCCAAGTTATAATTTTTAATGAAATACAATTTTCCATCTGGATGGGCACAGAATTGGCGTAAAAAAAAATCAATAAGTGGCACTGATGTTTTTGAGACTTTTCCCTCTCATTATTATCACAATAATTCCTAGCTTCCTATTAACCCCATGTAAAACTCCATTAAATTTGATATCAGCAAGAGTCACAGTATATCTCATACAATTTTTCTTTTTCTGTAATAGTAGGACATCTCCTTTGTTTACAGTTCCTACCAAAACACTGACTTATTTCTGGTAGGTTTATAGTAAAAACTAACCAACACAGAAAACAGAATGGAGAAAATGTAACATTGATAGCTATTGTACCACCCCAGGATTTAGAAATTAAATAGTGTCCCATTACGTTCCAAAGACAACGTATGTTAATAAACAACTGTGCGAGCTCTTCATTTTTGTTTCTGGAAAAATAAACCCCAGTTGCTGACAGCCTCTCTTCTTTGATCAAACTGTTTACCAAGAAAACATGAATTAAGAGAAAACAAAACAAAAAAAAGAATATATTCATTACTGAAAGACTGCAACCACGTGTGAGAAGGGGCTTTATCGGGGCACAATCAATTAATGGCTTTGATAATAATCAAACCTATTCATTCAGTTATGCATTCCAGAGAAGAACACTCTCAACAATCTTCTTAGGAGTGCAAGTCTACTGACCAGGCTTTCATCTCTTATAAAAATGTGGAATTCCTTAAAGATAAGTTGGTCAGATAATTAAATCTGATTAGTTACTCGCTCTTAAGCAGAGACATTATAAGAAATTAATGAGGAATTTAGCAGTTTTCATATACAAAAAAATTAAACTATGTTAGAAAACTTTTAAGAAATACTCTGTTTGGAGAGTTTTCCTTTGTTCAGAGTTCATTTCTAAAGCCCCGTTTAAAACACACACACACACACACCCTGGACTTAGGAGATACTATGGTGTAGATCAGCAGCTTTCAGTGCGTGGTCAAAAGATTTATAAACTTTTTTTAAAACAAAAGGAAAATTAACCCGAATGGTGTTCTGGTAACTGGGACGATACTTAATATCCTTATTGTACTAAAATGCAACAAAGCAAAACTAAAGCATCTCTGAATTCAAGACTGGATTGTTTGCTGATTTGGGGAATGGAACAAATAGAGCTTTGTCCTCCCTGGTGTCAATGCAGTTGGGGAGAATTTCAATAGAAAGTATAAAAGGAAGAAGCAGGATGGCCATTCAGTTAATGGAAGCAAAATCCTTAGTCAAACCATATAAAAATCACAGTTTTAAAAAAAAGAACCTGTGAAAACAAAGAAAAATGGCGTATTCTTTCCCCAGGTCTCTCTGTCGGAAAGGTATTACAATTATGATATTCGCTGTTGGGAGCAGCGGCTGTCCAGATGCAGAGCTGCTCATCAGTTAAGAATAAACACACACACAAATATCTCAAAAATAAATATTATTAGCTCCATTTTTGAAAGGAGCTCAAGGTAATGATTACTTACAATGTGAAGATTTTGTTCCACTCGGGATTAAGATTTTTGTAGACGGTATGTGTCAGCAGCCTATCATTGTTCAGTTCAACTACACAAAATGGGTCACTTTTACCTACGAGAGATTTGGGGGGGAACATTTTTAGTATAAATAACACCCACAGTTCACAGTGTCATGATCATGGCCACATCGCTTTTCTGAAAAGTTTTATGAAAAACAAAAAGGAACATACAGTTTAAAAAATTTAAACATCAAAATAGAGTTAGATGTAACTGGAGAGTGTTAACAATTGTGATTCCTAGCAAATTAGAACCTGAAAAAAGTAAAAGAAAGGAAATTATAGAGCTGGTATTTTGATTTGTACTTATTCTTTTTTTTTTACAAAAAATAGTAATAATTATTATGAGAGAAACTGTGATGCATGTCCATCCCTCAGTCAGTTTTTATTTAGTTCTATAAAGATCATTTGAAAGGCTCAACCCCTTCACTTTTACGCATATATTTTCCAACTCCTCCGACTCATCAGTAACTTTTAACAGAAATTTCTAAACAAAACTGAACAAATTTATGTTGGGAAAACTGCTATATTACAGAATGACACCATTGTAATGTGACTTTAGATTCCCTCCTGAAATGTCTCTGGCATCACAAGAAGGTAAATTAAACCCTCAGAGGCAGAAAAAATTTTGCCATTTGAAACTTAAGCTCAACAACCAATCTGCATGTTAAAGAGCAGTATTTTTTCCTGTCCACTGAGAGTAAAGAATTTGGAAGTTATCATCTGTTTACAGCGAGCCTGTTCTGCCATAATCAAATCTTGTCCGTTCGGCAATTATATTTTGTGATATCCTCAATATTTTGTAATGTCATGTCCTGTATTATAAGGACCCCATAAAGTCAGAGGCTCTATGGGGGCAGCATTAATGATATTAGTGCTGCGTGTAATTTGTTTGATACCTTATACAAATGACAATGAAATCAATATTTAGACAAAGCTGTCCAGAGGTCATATCTTTTAAACTACAATATTGATTTAGACTACATAAGAGGTTAATGTGCATATTATTAACTTTAATGATAAAGAATAATTGTTTTAAATGCATTGTGAATTGTAGTCACAGTAGTTTACACTTCTGTGAAAGCTTAAATATCATTGAAGATTTTCAATTAAATTTTAATAGGAAGGAATTCATTAGCTATCAATGACAGATAAGTCATGTATTCCCACACAGCAGTGTATTTACTTTCCATATTGTGATTCTTAAAATGAGCCATACAAACTTTGACTCACCTTTAATTTAATTTATTAGTTATAGAATAAAAAAAAAAAAAAGTAAATATATGTGTGTTAGTTCAGCGGCCTCATATACCCCAGGATGACTGCATAATTTAGCAGTATGGTAGTCTTTTCAATTTTTGGTCTTGGGAACAATTTTGAATAATGAATAGAGAATCGAAAGTCTTTGAGGTCTGTTGACATTTTTATTTCTGCCTTTGGATCTGTATTTTCCTTTTTTTTTTTTTTTTTAGTCATACACACATACACACCATGGAAGACAGAATTCAAAAAAGAACATTTTGTTCATTAAAACAGTGCAAAATGTTTTATTTGCCACATCAACAATTTTATTTTCTTCCACGGAATTCAGGTACAAGCATAAAAAGTGGATTCAAACAATTTCAAAAGCCTTACTTATTCTTAAGGCCCATATAAAGTCTTTTCACCTAGCTTTGTACTGGGTAACATGCATACCATAAGAAAGAGGACACACACTACCACCTCAAATAATTTATAAAAGGGTTGGAGAGATTTAAAAAATCTACCTATAATGATCAGAGAGAAAATTAAAGCCATATTTATTAGAATTCCATGTCAGAAGCATCACTATTCTGCCATCACTTTAGACAGAACATTAGATTGATTAGTGTTGGAACTTCTACCTAAAAGACAAGTGGAACATTCACACTCTTCCTGGGACCTTCTTTTAATTTTTCTCATATATGTGTACATTCATGTAAATCTTAATTTAGTTAAAAAAAACTATATAAAGATAGCACTTTTGGGCATTTCTGTTTCCTCATTTTCACTTGCTTTACTTCAATTACTATTATATTTCAACTGACTTGGTTTTACTCGCCCTCAAATGATCAGCAATGTGTAACAGATGCAGTCAAAACTGCCCCACCTCTTCAACAGCAAAACACAAGAACAAACTCCAGAGACCAAAATCTATTGGGAAAACATTTTACTTTATTTTATTTTTATTGCCCAGTGTGGAGCCCGACACGGGGACCGAACTCATGACTGTGAAATCAAGACCTGAGCTGAGATCAAGAGTCGGACACTTAACCGACTGAGCCAAGAGGTGCCCTGAAAATATTTTTACTTTAAACTTCTACCAGCAGAGAATGCAAATCTTCACTTGATTTCTTTTCTACAGGAATTACATTCAATTGTGTAAGAGACTTTCAACCACATGGAAAGTCTCTTAAATCACCACTTTCTTTGTTACTCTACCCGTATTTGCTGACAAAAGATCTGGAGTCTTAAAGAAACAAAATCTGTTCTTAATGATTAACGCTTCCCATATCTTGGTAAGAAACTAATCCATTTATCAAAACCTACGCCCATGAGGCCGTGGGTATCCATATTTTCTTACTGTGTAGTTGATTAGTTTGCAAGACCATTCCTAGGGAAAACTGGTTATCTGCCGTTGACCACCACATTACTTATTCTCTCACTCACTTTCTTCTATTAGGATGAAGACATTGAAGCCCTAGAGACAATGCTACACCCACCAAAAACAGTGTAAGCACCTTCTGAAGCCACTTCTCAGTCATTTTGCTAGATTAAATTCCAGGGGCATTCCATCATTGGCAAAAATATTCTCTTACATGTACCTGCTTTTAACTTGAAATGGGTAAGTAAGGTAAATTTTAAGAGACCATATTAAACACTGTACCAAATGTAATGGTGCTTACATTAAAAAAAAAGAGAGAGAGAGAAACTTTTATCTTAGACCAAATTACTACTTAACACAGCTTTAATTAAATATATTTAAATGTGGGGCGCCTGGGTGACTCAGTCGGTTGAGGGTCGACTCTTGATTTCAGCTCAGGTCATGATCTCAGGGTTGTGAGATGGAGCCCCGCCTTGGGCTCCCTGCTCGGCGTGGAATCTCCTTGAGATTTTCTCTCTCCCTCTCCCTCTGCCCCTCCCTGCACTCTCTCTCTGTCTAAATAAATAAATGAAATCATAGATATATATAATTATATATCTATGATTTTATATATATCTATATTTAAATATAAGGCACCAGGCAAGACCTTTCCCAATTTCCCAATAACTATGCCATATCTTAGTAGTTAGTAGGCCACACATATGGGAAGACCTGGCTAATGTTTTGACCACAGATTCATTCACTCAACAAGTAATTATTACTAATTACCATGTACCAGGCAGTGTTCTATGCATTGAGGAGACATAAGTGCATAAAACAATAATTATGATAAGCCTGACCTCATGGTGTTTACCTTAAGGAAAAAGACAATGAATACACACATTTTATGGTATTGTAGAAGGTGATAAGTACTATAGAGAAGGAGTTAGGAACAGCAATGAGGAGTACTGGTATGTATGTGCAATTTTTTAAAGGACCGTCAGAGAAGGTCTCACTGAGAAATCAGCATATGGGCAAAGAAATAGGAAAGGCAAGGGAGTAGGCTCTGGGCTACCTAGAACAACAGGTTGTGGAAAGGTCAGAGAAATGGCCGTGCCTGGTGTGTCTAGGAATATCCAAGAAGCCAGTGTGACTGAAGGAATGAATTGAGGGAAGGGGAAGAGTAGAGGGTGAGGTGTGGGGAGGGTGGCAGGTCTCTGCAGGATACGGTTTTCTCTACAAGTTCTAGGAGAAGCTTTTGGAGGTATTCGGGCTGCGGCGTGACATGATCTGACAGCTGCTATTTGGAGAATAAGGTGGAGAGAAGCCAGTGGAGGAGGAAGTGGGAAGAGTTAGGAGGATATTACAATCCAGGTGATGGAAAGTGCTTGGATTCTGAATATACTCTGAAGGCAGAACCAACAGCGTTTGAAGATGCCAACAGTGAACAGTCTCTTATGCCTGATACTGTTATTTGCCGACGGAAAACAATTCCCTGAGCTTAGCCAAGTCGGTCTTTTATTCCCCCAAGGACAAGAAGCATTCAACAAAGGACCCAGGGTAGTTTTCTCTAGAATCTGGCAAAGAGGAAAATTTACGTAAGGAGAGAGCAGCCAATTTTATATTTAACTTCTATTCATCTTTTCCTTCTATAAAGTTATGTTTTTACAGTTATCAGTAATGGATGCCAACATCAGGTCTTTACACACTATGTTATTTTCAACTAATTTAGAAAGTATCCTTCTGCCACTGCGTGATTCAAGGGTAATTAAAAATTAACAGCAATTTCAACCAAAATAATAGTAAACGTACAATATCAAATTCTATAAACTTACCACTAAAAAGCATTCACCATAGTTTTATTTTAAAGAAGTGGCTACACACAGTTAATGTGCTTATCTGGCTTGCTAAATGATGCTTTAAATGACTGGCTTTTCAGTTCCTAAATTTTGCAGCCTTGATTATGTGCCACTTAAACAACCGAAAACAATCACAGAAATACCAGTGATGGACCTAACCATTAATTATCTCCTTAATTATTCCTTCCTTTCATCCTTTTATCATTCTAGTTGGACCCCGTGATATGCTGCTGTGCTTGCTGAGAGTGTCTGGGGAGTGGGATTGACTACAGGATGCGGTATTGAGGTCTACCAAGTACACTGTGTTCTGCAAAGCTCTGAAGAGTGATGCAAAGCTGCTCCATGTGATGATTTTACTCAATACTGTATGGGCAGAAGTGCAAGGAATTAAAGGCAGCATCCAAAGTTGAACTGTATTTTGTTTCTGATAATTTTTGGCTATTTAAACAGCCTCAATGTATGGGAACAGATTATATAATCCCTTATCTCCCTCTTAGTCATTCTTGTCATAAGACTAAAGCTGACCTGTGGGTACCAGCTGGCTTTCTCTTAACTTTCACCGTTTGGGCTAAAAAGTGCAAGATTTGGGTTTGGA